GTTGTGTAACTCAAGTGGAAGGGAATTAAGAAGAAAAGAGGTTCAGGGACTCTAAAAGCAGTCACAGAGAGTTCACATGTCTCTCTGTGTTGTAGTGAAAATGTTCAATGTGCCCTTTGATGTTTGTGTTCTGCAGCCAAACAAATGTCATCGTGTCGTGGCATGTTTTCTTTGTGCACCTTACCATGACAAGGAATTATCATTTTACACATGAATATTCATATTAATCTGTAATTTAAATCAGTTTCTTAGCGATTAGCGCCACACACAAACACCCCTCACCTGCGGTGCGACATGAAGGAACCGGGACACGTTTTCCCGGGAGTTTCAGAACTTGGCAACTTTATATCAGGATAACAGAGCTTTGTCTGTCCTTGAGTAGTGCCTGCTGTTAAAATGTTGCTTCAGCTTCCCTGCCAAGCCCGAATAGTGCGCAACATGGATCAAACATGGCTTTTATTTACAACCAAGGTCCCTGCAAGGTCCACATTAACCTCTCAGTCTTATTTACTGTACCTGCTGGGCTGTATTAAGCAGAGCCAGAGTCCAGTTAGAGCTGGATGTAATTCTCCGGAGCCCAAGCCCAGATGTCCAGATTTCTTGGACACATTAATTCATCAATCCAGGCAAAAGGGTCTTTTAGCAGTCTGTGCTGCATTAGCCACTGTCTCGTAACTCTCTTAAAATCTGGCTCCTGGGGTCGAACTTTTGAGCTTCTTGCCAATTAAGGGCACTTGTATGGTAAGCAGATCCATTCCTCCTGCGCCTGGAGGAATCACTATGTCTTATTTCATTCTAATTCCACTTTCCATCATGTTTCAGGAGCGGGACATGATGGAAATGGTCTGTGACAGTTCTGACCCATTTGGAGGACTTTCTACACAACATGAGCTGGTGAACTCTTCCTCACTCGTTCACACTGGCCTTAATGTCCTTGGTGATCACATGCAGTTTTTCCATCTCACAGCCACCATAATGGAAAATTTTGCAGCGACCTCCTGCCTCCAAAGCTGTCTGGTGAACGGGGGGACATTTTTCTGCAACACAGACAGGCTGGACCGCAGCGTCCATGAATATTGGGAAAACCTGGAAAACACACCTGCTGTGGGCCTCACACACACTATTTTGTATTTCGCATTTTAATAGTTCACTAGGTCTTAATAATGCTTCATAAATAATTAGGTGTTTGTAAGGATGGCATTTTGAGTTGACAGGCTATAAAAAAAATAATGAAAATCCCTTTATTTACAACTTTTCCAACTGCTGGCTGGATAGTTTATTAGAAAGTGGAAAAAAAAAAACTATCAATATTAAAAAATTACTCATTTCTGCTTTGGCAAATATTTTGATCCAGATGCTCTACAGCCAGTATTCTCAAGTTCTATTCATCCATTATCTGTACACCACTTA